ACCAAATCTAGTTTTCCTATTGTATTATTTAATTTCTCTGTTGCCTTGTTTATTTTCTGTCTGGAAGGTCTGTCTAGTGATGTTAATGCAGTGTTAAAATCTCCAGCTATGATTGTATTCCCATCAATATCCCCCTTTCTCTCTGTTAGTAATTGTTCTATGTACTTAGGTGCTCATATATATTAACGAGTGTAATATCCTCATCTTGTATCACTCCTTTAATCTTTATAAAATGTCCTTCTTTATCTTTATGCCCTTCCTCCCAGGGCACATCAACCATGTTGTTTTATGAAGGGCCCAGGTTGTTCTCCCCTGTACACCCACAGCCATGGCGCGCAGCCCCTTGCAGTCTCCCGGGGCTGCATCAGTGCAGCCACCCCTGTCCTCCACCCGGCTTGTGCAGCCTGGCCCTGCCTGCAGCTGCTGGCCCGCGTCTCAGGCTGGGTGTCGCGGGGACGCTCTGTGCCCGTTTAACTTAGTTCTGTCAGTCAAGGGCTGCTCCGTATAGATCTGAGCCTCGGAGACTCCCCCTCTGTCCCGCTGGCCGCTCAGTTGGAGAGGGGAGACCCAGCGAGCGAGCACCAATCCTCCTTTGCCGCTCCCTCCCCGCGGGACCCATCCCGCTCTGCTTTGCCTTTTGTTCTTTCTTTTTTCCTTTTCTCCTACCAGATTATTGGCGTCTTTATCTTTTGAAGAGGGCGATGTTCTGTCGGAGTTCCGCAGGTGCTCTGGTTGGCTGAGTGGGTCTGTGGATGTGAGTCTTGGTGCATTTGTGGGAGAGGGTGAGCTGCGAGCATCCTTCTACTCCGCCATCTTCTCTCTTCCTCCAGTAACAGTGTTTTACTAGTATAGAGTTGAGTTATGTTTTCATAAAGAGCAGTTGTCTTTTCTCTGTTCCCCTCTACAGAAGTTTAATAAGTATTTCTCAAAGTGTGGTCCTCCAAACACCTGTATCAAAATTTCCTCGATTTGATGCTAAAAAGGAGAATGGGGGTTCCAGAAGCTCTGTGTTTAACAAACAACCCAGGTGATTTTCATTCTAAATGTCCCCAACCCCTTATTCCAGTTCATTCTTCCAGACATTATACTGAGGGCCTAATAGGCACAAGACACTTTTCTGGGTTCTAGAAATACAGCAGTACACAAAACAGACAAAAATACCTCTCTGATATCTGTGGTCACTCAAATTCATGCTCCTGGATGTAATGGTATCAGAGTAAATCACAATACATCCTAGGACAGCGTGTGTGGACTAGGAATGCAGAACACTCACCCCAACCGAGAACGCCCAAACCATCAATCATAGTGGCGTGCGAGTCCGTGCCCATGAGGCTGTCTGGGTAATAGTATCCATCCTGATCAAATACCACTCTTGCCAAATACTCCAGATTCACCTGGTGGATGATTCCTGAGCCAGGGGGAATAATCTGCATATTGCAAAAGGCCTGAGAACCCCACTAGGATTGAAAAATAGGAAGAACACTATGAGTGCCAGACACACCTTATGTAGCTCACCTCCTAGGCACCTCTCCCTGGCATGGGACACACATAAAGAATCAACCAGTGGAACCAAACTCCGCCCATACCTTTAAAAATTCAAATCGTTCTCTGTTTCTTTCAAATTCCAAGTCTTGATTCTTCTGTATACTGTCTGCCCTGTGAAAGAGAAAAACAAAATGTATAAATTTTAAGGCTTAGCGTGTTACTGGTCAAATTTATTAGTGATAATATACAAAATGGCAATTTCATCTGCAGGCTTGCTGAGTAGTATATGCCCTCACTCACATGGGATAGCAAAGGTGGTTAAAGAAAGTAAAAAGAATAATTATTATTTAGTTCAAGTGATTCTTAAAAT